GATGTTTCAGCAATGTGATGGAACATATTTTGTATTTATCTTCAATGAGATTAGAATTAAATTCTGAAAGGAATGATACATTTAATAGTATACTCACACAGGCTTATTGCCACAAAAATTATTGAATTAAGGAAGAACAATACTGAGATGCATAATTTCTCTCTTTCCCATAGATGCTCAACACAAATATTTACAGTTATCTTCCACCACTTCTGCTCTCTCAGACAATCTTCTACCATAACACAATGCACTTCTAAACATTAGCAGGGACTATATCCTAGTGCCTGTCAGGACCTTCCTCACTCCATGGACACACTTGAGAACACCTCAGCTACCCCCATTATTGCACTTTTATCCACTGATCATTCCTTTTCTGATTATCAATGGGCAATAGAATGCTTGAAAATAATCTGCAGAAAGTGCTCCTCTCCAAGTGTAGAAGGATTGACTGAAGCATTCTTAATACCTGCATCTGTGGGTGCAGGAACATGCTGAATACTAGAGGATTAAAGGCAGTAACACCTCTTTCAGGAGGCACTAAATGGAGGTGGCATTTTGGTAGCCAGGCATGAAAATCTCTGTTTGTTCCAGAAATAGAAATTTGTTCCTGATTTCCATGCTGCAGAGGAATGGGTAACACATGATCTCTGCAGCAGTTCAAGCAGTTTAGCTGAAAAAAGCTATCATCCTGCTGTGACCCCTGTAAGATGCAGTATATCCTTCTGAAGTATGGCTAAGACCAATATGTCCACACTATTCATCATTAAAATATCCATCATGCCTCATTCAAAAATGTGTTTTCACACCCATACACTCTAAAAAATAATAATAATTAACTAAATATCTAGGTTTAATTTAAACACAGTAAGAATTATTATGTCTGCAAATAATCACTAGCAGTCGTTTTCAAACAAACTAACAAAAAAAAAGACGTAAAAAATATTGGAAAGAAAACCTAAAAGGACTGCATGATCTTAAGATGTTATCTTACATTGATATCTTTTGTATATACAATTTTGTTGCACCTCATCTGTTACATGAGCAAAGTAAACAAGACCGGAAAACATTCTGGTTATTGTTGTGATTACGATTTTTATTACAATTACAGCCACGGTTACAGCCAAGGATGAGCTTTAACTGAAGCTAGTTGCACACTTGGTGTGTATGACTTTGGTAAGGAGCTCAAATAAGTCAAAGTCACCCTACAGACTGCTAAAAGCTAAAACACACTTTGTGGTCATGTTATTTTACAACATGGTATTTTACTACTATCCTTAACATCTCTTAATACATCCATTGACATTTATAGAAAAAAAGAAATAAATAAAAACCTTCTTCTGTATTTAGTATTTATGAGCACTGAGACATATGCAGTATACAGCACTGAAGTCCCTATAGTGTTAATACTTGTTTCTTGAAGCAATGGAGTTCCTATCAGGGGAAAAAAAATCAACCAACCCACACTACTTTTGATTAGAACAGTTTAATCCTAATCCCTTTTCTCTGATCTTGGCAGAGGATTTTAAGCAAGTAACTATATTTAAATAACTACCCAGAATTAATCCTTTTGGTTGCTCAAGGCATGAAGAGAAAGCAGTCAGAAACAAAGAATTCAGAAACATGTTGCAGCTGTTTCTTAGCATTCACTATTTATAATTGAAAACATTCTTCTTTTTCTTTTCTTTTTTTTTTCTTTGTGTGTGTGTGTGTGTGTGCGGGTGGTGAAGGGTAACCTTCAGCTGCCTTACTTGTCCCTTCCTTTTCACAATAGCAAATATCAAGAGAGGGACAGAGTAGGTATAAAAACATTTCAGCATGAAGTTAAGTGTTTCTGACAGTTTACAGAATTCTGAGCAAGGCTGTATGTAAAAGAAAAAAAAGAAAAAAAGGTTCTTTCTTCTGTATAGCTTGGGTTGATTTAATAAAACTGGGGGAAAATTCCCATTTTTAGTCTCAGCAATAATTGCTTGAAAGCATCAAGCTTATTCCTAGTTTTCAAAAAAAGGAAGTTTATGTACTGAAAAGGAATTTGGTGTGTAGCTGTAGTTCCTCTGATCCTGCCTTTCCCTCTTAATATTTGCTCCTTTCCAGATGCAATGGACCGATTTAACACAAGAACTCCATCTAGGGTGTAAGTCAATCTTTTTAGACACATTTAAATAGCAAAAATGGAGCCAAAAAGTACATAATGCACATGAATATAAAGTTACAATGAAATATTGTTATAATGAGTTAACCACTTTTTAATGCATAAATGTTTATCCTGGGAAGTAAGCCTCTCTCAATCTACAGCATGTTTTAAAACACGCAGAAGTGCAATTCACAATATACAAAACATAGTGAGGAGTATTGGATGGAATATTTTGGCACTCCATTAATACCATTGGCTTCTGTGAATGGCAATCTGCCATTGTGGGTAAAAGAGAGAAGCTGGTTTTGTTTGGGATTTTTTTTAGAGGGGTTACCTTTCTGAGACTGTACTAGAAAAGATGGTTAAAGAGTGGGAAGAACTAAAACACTGAATAAATTAACTTTTATTATTAGCAATGTTTACATTTTTTACAGTAGTTAAATAGTATTTATTCATCTACTGTTTGAGCTGTTTTGGCACATGTAACCCATTATTATAGCATTTCAACAAGTCACCAATAATCTTTACCTTACCACTTACATGTGCCCCTTAGACCTTAGGAATCTTAAATCCCAAAAAAAATTAAATTGTTCAAGGTCATTCAAGTAGCTGGGAGCAACAGTAGACTTTTTCTAGCCTTAGGTCTGAAACCCTGATCCTTGAACCAATATAAAAATTATTAGCTTAGTTAAGAATTGATGAAATACGTAAGTTTTTTTAAATTATTCTAAAATATTTAAGTTTCCTTGTTTAAAAAAAAATACAGGTTTTGATAGCAAGTTCCTGTATCTTAGTGGTTAATCAGATTTTAATAATTTTTTTCCACTGTGTTTTCTCATTTTTCCTGAAATGGATCTCTTTTACATGAACTAGTCCTCATTTTCCTTTCATTGAACACTTATGTAAATGTCTAAGATGTCAATAACACAAACCCCTTTATAAGAGATTTCATTATAATTCTTTCATCAGTTCAGTTTCATAGTCCTAGGGCCATAGTTCTTACATTTGCATTGTACATTCATATCTCTCTAAATGACAGATTTTCTATTTTGTACAGTTTTATATCCTTTATCCTGATTACATTAGAAAAACTCCACGTCCAATTATAAAGCATTTCTTTGATTCAGAAGTAGGTCATTTACTCAAATTTCTAAAGCACCTTCTATAAATGTTTGGACAGAGGAGAAGATGAGAATTCTTTCATTCTTCTGTGTTTTGAAGCAGGATATACAGTGAACTTGAGAATATGGTAATATCAGCTGGGAAACCAGTCTCACTTTTACCCTGTGGGTTAACAATCTAGATGTAAAATATCACTAAAAGTAATAGCACTGTTGTTCAGGGGAAAAAACACTCATTTTGTGATATGCACAAAATGCAAATATTTCAGATATTTTCAGTGTTATCAGCTTCCACTCTTCTGCTTACTATTTAGATGTAGAAGCTAAAAGTTCCTCCATCCCTGGTACTCAATTTATATGACTTTTATATCATTAATAAGACTTCCAGTAGGTGGCTAAAGGAAGTCAAAAAAGTAGAGCTTCAGCAAACACATGAAGAGTATCCAGGGAAAAATGCTCTCTCTGAACCAAACAGTTACCAGGATCTTCCACTTTTAAACATAAATATTGTGTATATTATTCTGTAATATATTATTAGAACAATTGTCACTCCAGAGAAATTACTCAATTTGTTTCACACATCAAATCATCTGTGCAGCCCACAAACATGGCAGAGAGAAACTAAAGCACACAAGTAAACATATATTTACAGTAGAGGGTTATGAAAAATTATAAAATAAACCCAACTAATAATTGCAAATACAAAGCACTAACTGCTTTTTCTGCCTGCATTATTTCAGAATGTACCAGCGGTTCTAATCCAGTATAGTTATAATAAAACATTGTCTCCATATAGTTAAAAGCAGCACTTAGAAATAGATTTCTTTTTTTTGCCTTCTGCAACCATGTGACATTGCTAATGCAGAGAAATAAAACCCAGATACCAAAGTGATGCTTTGTAGTCTATTAAAGCCCAGCTGTTGGCCAGAGTTAAGAAAATGATTGTGCTGTTTGTGCCATTTCTAATTAATAATAACTAAGGATTAATAAAGCAATTTGGAAAAAGAATGTACCAGGTAAGGATTTATAGGTAGATTAAAGCAAATTTTATTGTAAATAATCATGGATAAAATTAAGTGTGAGCTAAGACATTTTATGGCAAAGCAAAAAAAATATTTCACGTATTTTTAAAGCTCTGCTTCTCTTAGAAGCATATTCATGGAGGTGGAGGTACTGGAAAGCCGCAATTTCATCCCTGACCAATAGTTCAGAGATATTTGCAATGTTTAACAGTTCTCTGCATTGTTGCTAAAAGCAGGAAAATTGATCTTAAAGGGGGACTTTTCTCTGTTTATTGTGTATTAAGGGTCTTGGAGGCTTCACAGCTTGATGGGTGACTCTGGCCACACTGCTGAGAGAGAAATTTTTTAGGCTTTACAGGAGCCAGCCCCAGGAGCTGCACTCCAGAGCTGCACTTAACCTACTGCAGAAGGTTTATTAGGTTTACTAGCAGAAAAAAAAATAATAAAGTCCATTTACATTGGTCATGACTTTTTCTGCCCATAAATGAAGGAAAAAGCAATTGACCAATCACCTTCCAAGGCAGCTGAGCCCAAGTATGAAAATATTCAGCTCTAACACAGTGTGTGCCGCAGTGTCCCGAAGCCCATCCCACCCCACAGGGCTCCTGCAGGCTGCTGTTTGTAATATCCATACTCTGAGCGTGGGCCTTAACCCACCCTCGGTCCGCAGGCCTGGGTGACATAAGTGTCCTTATGGCTGACACACAACACCTAAGTGAAACACACCTTGTCACCTGCGGAATCCTGAGCTCCTCTCCAGGAGGGGGTCATCAGCTGCTTCCAAACCCCCCAGGAATGGAGACTGTCCTCCCACAACACTGGCACCCTGGCAGGCCATGGTGGGGCACTGGGGGAGAGGAGGGGAGGCCACGAACTGCCCTGGCTGCCTGAGGGAGCCCTGCTGAGGGGACCTGACCCTCCCTCCGGTGCAGAGACTGAGGGCTGGGGGCTGTGGGGCTGAGCTAGAGAAACACCTGCACGTCAGGTACATCAGGAACCCACAGGGATGATGTGTGCAACACTGAGCCCAGCCATGGGCACAGTCTGAGCTTGGTAACATCCTTAGGCCTTGCTCTTAAATTCTCCTCAAGCCTGCAGCCCATGCCACCCCCCAGTTTCTTCTCTTGATCAGCCACATGGTCTCTGGCTCTCCAAAACAGGTATGAAACAGTGAAGGAGTCAGAGCTTTCTTTGTAGTCACTGAAAAATCTGTAATTTTTGATGGCAATAATATGTACTGATGGGGCTAATGTAGCCTAATAGTGCCCTCAGGAGCCTGACAGGTATATTGTGGTGGGAGTTCAGGCTGCAAGAACTATTACAACTCTTACTTGAAGTATCTTATTAGATATTGTCTTCTTTCATGGTATATACTGCCTTAATCATCTATTGCCCTAGTGGAAAAAAATCAGGCATGTATTTGAATAAAAAAATGCAAATCCAAAACAGCTGAGAGAACAGTGTGCACGACAATATGGAGCTACTTCTACTCAAAACCTTGCTAGTCTGTCTGCACTAGAACCCTAATTTCCTTCTGGATGTACAGTTCTGTACCTTTCACTGGTACATAGATAATTTACAGCAGCATCTGAGTGCCCAAAAATAGTTTTACAAGCATCTATGCATTTCTCTGCCACACCTTGAAAATGGGATCATATTCTCCAGACAGTGAAAATGTTTGTTTTTAAACAGCTCATTTCTTTAAAAAAATAATTTATTTTTTTTTTAAGCGCACACATCTGGTCTGCTGACTGTCAAGGAGTTTTGGAACATTTAGTCTTTGGAACAGTGAGTCCTAGTTTCTTCTGTGGTTTATTTACACATTTTTTTATTTACATTGTACACAAACCTAAACATATGCACAGAACAATAGACCCTTGTGCCTAGGAGACTGCACAGTTCCAGTTTGAATAATAAAAATATAATGCCTCAGGAAGGATTAAGAGAAGAGTTCAGACTGACTTTATCAGTATCTATTCATATGTCCACTGTGCAGAAGTGGGACACGGGTATTCATTTCTACTACTGTTTTCTGGAATTATTTTCTCCAGGAAGAGAAGTGTTATGCAATTTAAAGATGAATTTTACATATGAGAAATCTTGGCCATGAACAGATAATAAAGAGCACTAATAAGTCTGCTAAGATGTTTTTGGTTTTTTTTTTTAAACCTTGAAACCTGAGGAGATACATTGCTGTTTAGGCTGCTCCATTTTTCAGGGACAGTTGTACTTACGCTATGGTGATTTTTTCCTTGATTTCCCCATTTACAAAGTAAATGCTCAGAATGTCAGCTGCTCGCATTAATTCTTTACAGGACAGCAGGATAAGAATCAAAGCAAACAGTTTCTTTCTTTGATGAGCCATACACCAAACACAGCTGTAGTTCTACCTTCTGATTATTTCCCTGCTTCAATTTCATTTGGAGGATAACTTGTGTTAAAAACAGAATAGATCACTTTGCCTAGATGCTGCCCACTATGAATATATTTTTTTCTTTTAGAAAGAGCTGTTAATTCTTATCATAAAACCACCCAAATATCAAGTATAGGATTAAAGGACAGTTTTGAAGGGAATAGTGTGGTCAGTTTAAGACTGATATTTGTCTTACTAAAATTATTATCCTGCATCTTGAATATATTTCAAAATGTAGGTCAAGTAGATTGTTTCCCCATCTTTATGTATCAGTTCACAGAATCTCAGAACTGTAGAATCAAAGAATGGCTGAGGTTGGAGGGGGCCTCTGGAGGTCAACTTATCTAACACCTCTGCTTAAGCAGGACATATAGACTGTGTCTAGACTCTTTTTGAATATCTCCCACAATGGAGATACTAATTTTTTCAGAATAACTTGTTGCAGTGCCCAGTCACCATGACAGGACCTACAGGTTAGCTTTGAATATGAACCAACTTTCTTGGGGACCTCCTCCCTCCACAGTCTTATGCCTTGGGACTCTCCCAAGCATATCCTTAAAGAGGTCAAAATCTGCTCTCTGAACTCTAGGGTTGTGAACTTGCTTTTTGCTCTACTACCTCTTCTCTGAATTCCAAACTCCAACATCATATGGTCACTGCAGCCAAGGCTGCCTCCAACATTAGCAATTCAAATGAGCCCTTGTTTCTGAGCATAAGATCCAGCAGAGCATCTCAACTCATTGGCTTCTCTATCACCTGAGTCAGGAAGCTGTCATGGCTTGTCTCCAGAAGCATCCTTGATTGCTTATGCCCTTCTGTGTTGTTCCTTCAGCACATACCAGGGTGGCTGAAATCACCCATGAGATCCAGTGGTCTTGACCACTTATTCTTCCTAATCAGGTGGCTTTAGCAGACAATATGCCCATATTGATCTTTTCTTTAATCCTTACTCATAAGCTTTCAGTTGGCCAATCAATCCCGAGGCAGAACTGCATGCATTCCAGCTGTTCTCACACATAAAGGCCTGTTGCTCCTGAAAACTGTGTATCCCTGCACTGCAACCCTCAAGCCATAGAAGACATCCCACTAAGCTTCTGTGATCCAAACAGGATTGTAGCCCCACAGCTGCACACAGATCTCCTCATATTTGCCCCCCGTGCCGTATGCATTAGTGTGCAGGCACTTTGAGAGGCACCCCAGCATGCTGGGTTGTCAGAAAGGGTTGGGATGGTGGTGGTGTTTACCCCAGAACAGGCATTTCCTTGTTTACTTCAAAGTGCAGGAGTGGCCTGCTGGAGCTCGGTCTTGGTGATTTCGTGTTCACCTCACTCCAAATCCTTTGCTCATCAACCCAGTCCCTCACCCCCTTGCAGGTCTGCTGTTAACTCACTCTTGATAATCCTACCCTGAATATTTAAAGAAACACATTTGAAAAATTACATGCACAGAGTAGTTAGAACTACCTGGATTTTGAGTTTATTTACTAATTTTAATATTTGTTTTTTATTTAATTAATTCTAATATAAATTGTATTAATCTGTACAGAGTGGCTTTTAAAAGCAGTTATTACTTTCAGCCTCATGTTGTTTCATAAAACACCAAGAAAACACAAATGGCAATAAGAGAAATATCATTAGTCTGTCAGTTTTACATAGCAAAATCTTGGACCAGATGTTCAGCTAGGCAAAACAGAGGAACGATTCCATTTAATTTATCTGGGGAATTGTAACCATGGACAGCAGTAGAGTTCCACAAATTTAAACTAGCCAAAAAAGCAGTCTGATTTTCAAACCTCTTTCACCCTAAAATTCTCATTGTTTCTCTCTCACAACTTAGACAAAATTTTTCAATCCCTTTAAAGAGTGAACAAAATCCAATTGACACAGGCCAGTTTCCAGTTTTGGGATGTCCACTGTGGGATGACTCTTCAAGCAGCTGTTACAGTTAAAATAGAAAGGATTCAGCAGGACTTCATGGTAATTTCGTCTCAGAACACAGACTATTCAGCATTTAAAACAGAAAATATATAGGAGTATTATCATTTTTCCACTCCTCTGTTGCTGTGAATGGGAGTACATTTCCATTTACCAGTAGACTTATTGTCCTACCTAAAAGGCCTACAAGAAAGCCAGAGAGGGACTTTTTACATGGGCTTGTAGTTACAGAGCAAGGGGAAATGGCTTTAAACTGAAAGAGGCAAGATTTATATTAGATATTAGGAAGGAATTCTTTGCTGTGGAGTTGATCAGGAACTGGAACAGGCTGCCAGAGAAGTCTTGGATGCCCTACCCCTGGATACATTCAAGGAAAGGTTGAATGGGACTTTCAGCAACCTCATCTAGAGGAAGGTTCATGACCACTGGGCTGGGACTAGATGATCTTTAATGTCTCTTCCCACAGAAACCATTCCATGATTCTTCTTCCATAAGTTCTACATGTGCCATGGGGAAACATTTCACTTGGAATAAGAAGGTAAACAAAAGATTTTAAAGATAAATAAGGAGATTAGTTTTTCATAATTTTCATTCTAACCTTGACAGAACTTCTGTATGATCAATATGTTAAACAGATATACTCAGCACTGTGGAAAAGTAGCATTTCTGCAAAAATTCACCCTAATTTCAAATGATACAACAACAAGCTAATTTTTTTAGCAGTAGAGAAGGCGTTTTGAAGAGTAAAAGAGGAAGCCAAATACAAACTACATTTTTCTGTTAAGTTTCTACTCATACAGAGGTAAATAAGGAGCACGTAATAACTCTCTTCATTTGGGATTTTTAAAATTGTAGTTGTTAATTGTTATGAACATACCCTTTAGTGTGAAGAAGGTAGAGTAGCATTTGCTATAAGACAAGGGAAGAGGGAGCAGAAATTAGGAATTTCAACCTTAAGAATCTGTGCTTGAAGAAAAATGTAAAATTAAGTCTTTATGAACTTCCAACCTTGCCTACATTCAAGTATACAGCTCATCTGAATAACAGCTACAGCTGAATAACAACTGTATTTGTCAAATTTTTTGTTTGTATAAGGTCTCCTTCATCTGACCAAAGGAAGTAAAACCATCTTCATAATTTGCTAAGTATTGGATAATTTTCTTTATTACTAAAAATAATATAACTCTAAAAAGAGTGTAATTCAAATTGTTGAAAATTAATTATTTTGTAACATAAATAAATTTCCCCAGAGCATCCTTTCACAACATGCTGTTAGGCTAGAAGTGGGTTACCAAAAAAATTAATCCTTTCAGGTATTTCATGGATTGTCTGTGGCATGCAGTATGCTTTCAAGATAAGCATTTTTCTGATAAAGCATTAGCAGTAAGGTCTGTGCTAAATTTATGCTGTTGGCCCAATTTCCACAAAGGTTTATTTCACAAAAACTAGAACTCAGGTGCTGCTGCTCTACAACACTTCTGTAACATTAATGTGGGTCACTGACATGATGACAGAAAACTATGATTTCATGTCAGTAGGGTTAAAATTTCAGACTTGAATAAAATGTTTCAGTCAGAAGGGACAATACTGTCAATGAACAAAAAGACATTTCCATTTATCTTATCAGATGGTAGAAAATATACAGAATAAGAAAGTACTACAGGAGCACTTGCTAGCACCATTAAAGAGGACTTTCACACCAGGGAATGCTTTAAGTATTTTACTTCTTACATGGATTCATTTCTTTTGCAATTACCTTTAGCTGTTCTATTATTTGGGCTGCTTCCAGTAGCTACTTCTACTAATG